TGACAGTTCCAGTAAATCGTATCGCCCTGCAAATTGAAATCCTCCTTCACTCTCTTCTCTCATTCACAATTACTATAATTTAGTAGCATGATATTGTTGGAGATTGGAACTTCATATTCCATTCCCTATAAGAAATGTTTTATAGTGTATACTATATATAAATTGTATAGCAAGAACGAGATGTTTGACCTATAATAGGGTTTGTTGTTGCTTGAACTTTTTTGGGTTGTATAAGCATGATTCAATTCATGATATCATCAAAATTCTCAAAGGCGATCCTAGCTATATCTATTTATGCTATGACATAGCCCTTGTTGGAGGAAAAAATTGTTTTGGAATAGTATTTTTTGGAGAATCTGTGATTAAAATATAAGAAATAAAATTTCGATTTGCGTGTAAAATTATCTTATTATAGAATGTGTGGTTGAAAATGAGTTTTTGGAAAAATGGGGCTCAAAAAAGGGCTAGATAACTCACATGAGAAAAGGGGCCAAAAAAGGTGGTTTAAAGTGGGGCCCTTGATGATTTTAGATAAAATATCATTAACTCTTTGGAATAGTTAATTACACTTGTTCTCAGTTCGTTGCTTTTCTTTAATCTGCCTTTCCTCCTTGTAATCAATGCTTTTGGAGTTAATTTTGTTACCTTATTTCTATATTTATTATCTGTAATCTTGCAGGCTTGAAGCTTCCAGTAAAACTGAACCTATGGCTGAGGCTACTTAAAACTAGGTAATATATCCCATAATAAGATCTGGATGTTATTGTAGCACATGGAGACAATTTTTAGCCAGATAACTTTTTCTTGGGTGCACGAGTAGGCCTGGGCGTGGTTTGGTTTGGGTTGGTTTTGACCTAAACCCAAAACCAAACCAAAGTAGTCGGTTTGAGTGAAATTAAAACCAAAACCAACCCACTCTAATTCTTAAACCGAACCAACCCAAACCACTTCGGTTCGGTTTGGTTTCTCGGTTTGAACTTTTAAATAACATTGTATTGTAACTTATAAAGAACAAGCAAACATTGATGTTACTCTTACACATTGTTCTCTCTCTTTTCTTTTTCTTTTTTTTCCTCATTTTTTTCTTTCTTTTTCCTTTCTTTTTTTCCTTGTTCCCCCATTTTTGAGTTTGATTTACAAATGTGAGTGTTTCTTTTGCTTGACGCATGATCTTTGGATACTTTCTGTAATGAATTAACAATTGCCAAACTTAATGACTAGTTTCACTTGTTTATGTCTGTGGGCGAGTGCTAATTGATTATCTGGATCATGTAGTTTCACATTATAGTTTGTCTCCTTCAAAAGTATTTGTTTCATATCCTAGAATATCTTTCCTAGCATTTGTTTGGTCAAGAAGCAACATTTGATTCCATTTATAATGTCCTTTTAGTTTGTGATTTTTGTCATATGTTTTTAATTGAAGAGATCACTTTCTTCCAACTTGTGGAGGAAGCAAATTTTCCTTCAAGTTTGTTTTGTTAATCTACAATGGGGGATGAGGAAAACAATTTTCAACCTTCAAAAAAGAGGGCTGCCGGAGTGCAACTATCTTGAGATAATCCTGATCTTGATGATGATGAAACCTTTGAATCAGAAACAAAAAGTTTCAAAAAAGCTAGTGACGAGGTTCTGGAAAGTAGAAGAATAGCGAAAGTTCGTCGTCATCAAGCATCAACTTCCGGTGCCCTATCTTTTGACTTTTCTTCCTGAAAAGGAAAACGAAAGCAAGAGAAAATATATTACTTGAGAGTCTGATTATGAGTTAGTTTCCATGAAATAATTATAAGTCCTATATCCATTTTGTTGCATGATTCTTAATCATCATGCTGCATGATTCTGGAGATATGAATGATTAAATCGTAAATATAGTCTACAGTTGCTAATAAAACCTTAGTTTTACTACTATTGAAATTGATAGTTAATGTGGAATTTTATTGGATTTGGATTGGATTGGTTATCATATTTATTTTGATTCCTACAGTCATAGTCTGTCTGTGAGTTACCCTTCTTCTTCTTCTTCTTTTTTCAAAAAAGAAAAAAGATGGTTTAAATTTGTAGCGGGTTAAGCGGTTTACTATCGGTTTTGGTATTCAAACCATGAACCAAACCAAACCAACATGGTTTTTGTCTACAAAAAACCAAACCAAACCATTTGACTACTCTAAATCGAACCAAACCAAACCGAATCGGTTCGATTTGGCGGTTTAGGTGGTTTGACGGTTTTTTTGCTCAGGCCTATGCACGAGCAAGTACTGGCACTTATAATTGATGTCCTGATATGGTGGATGTTCAGGGGCTTCAGAGCCAAATTTTGTTTTACTATAGGACTAAAACACAAATAATAATGCTAGTCATCTACTTATTTATTTTGGTGTGACATTCCAATATAATTGACATTGCCAAGATTGTTCCTTGAAATTTTGATACGAACTTGCTTATATGATTGGCAGTAACTCTCATTTTCATGACTACCACATGCATTGGATTTAATGATTTGGGAGAATTGGGGCTTAAGGAATCTGGAAGGGACTGGAACTAACAATCCTTTTGCACTTCGTACGTCAAAGCATGATGCCAGTTTGTTTCACTGTATTATTAATTTATTTTCACAAAAATATGCACTTGGAAGTTTTGCATAGCAAGTGATTCTGTGTTGGGGGTCAGGACGGTTTTTCTCAGCCATTGATGACCTGTTCAAAGCAGTGATGACAGAGTTCAAAATGCACAAAGCTTTTTACTGAACTAGGTGGTATCTGGGCACAGAGAAGGTATTCCAGCTGGGGCAATGACAAAGTTCAGAAAGTCCTGAAGATACCTTCTGTTATAATTTAAGACGGAATGTTGAAGATTCCACACACGAGGTTATCTTAGCCGGTGGTTTTCTATTAATTTAATGGAATTTGAGGCCTGTTAAAACATTGTGTTGCACAGGATCAGCCAAATGGTCCCAGTAGATTCCGAAGTGCACTGGACTCAGAGACCAGACCTTGTAGAAAGTAACCCAAGATTTCCAACATGGCTGATCTTTCATTCTTCACCTCCAACTTCAAAACCTTCATGGATTCTTGTCTTTCTTGAACTCTAGAGTGTTGAGCCGGGTATGCTGGGTCACTCATGGCTCCCAAGACTTTCTCTAAACTGAAGAAGTATTGCTTCTGGTAGACCCTGCCTTGTCATAACCCTGATTTCTCCTATGCTCAGCAAATCCCATAAGAATGCCATTTCGAGAATATTAAAATAAAAATTTAAATAAAAGTTGATGAAAAGTATGAAAGAAAAGTTCTAGGATATGTAGTTAAAATTTTAGGTTTTAATGTTTATTGTATTCTTACAAACACGTGATAAATGGCATCACTGTATTCTGTAAAATGAAGTGATCAATGAAATGTATCTAACCAGAATTTAAGTGGAGAAGCCCAAGATCTATTATAAAGGAATGATTTCGTGTCAAAATTTCCATATTACTGCAAAAATTGATGTGGTTAGATACTTAACTTTGGCGCCTTAGTTCATTGTAAAACGAGAAGTTTCTTATGGCCCGCCAATCAAAACAATCAAATATAAATTACAAACTTAAATATCGTTTGATTGAACAAAATTATTGGGCTAAAATTTATAAACCTTTTCTTTGCTAATATTTGTACCAAAAAGCATTCTTCAAACCGAAAAGAAGCAATAAAATTTCCAAAATTTCCTCCCCAGTCCTCGAGTTTCTTTATGCCTTCTGCATTGGTTAAAACGATATGTTATAAATGCAAGGTAGAGCTCTATATTGAGCACTTGTTTGAGCCCCATTTTTTGGGATAGAATGAATTTTTGAATAGTGTATTGATGAGAAATGTGTGGTTAAAAAATAAGGAAAAATTTTGGATGTACGTGTAATATTACTTTATTGAAGAATATGTGATTGAAATGATGTTAAAATATTGTTGAAAAATGTAAGAATGGGGCTCAAACAAGGCCTGAATATGGAAACTTTAGTTAATATAATATTTAGTTTGGCCATAAATGTTTAACTTAAGGTCAAATTTGGCTAATATTAAACCATTCAAAATAACTTTGAAGAATTCATTATCCGAGCGAAGGTGACCTCCTCTAACTTGCCAATTATTGTATTCTTACAAACACCCATTTCAATAGTCACAATAGTTCATGACAATCGCTATTCATTCCACCCCACCACCATTGTCACCACCCAAACATTGTTGTCACCTCATTACCAATACCGCCTCCAACACCATTACCACCACAACCACAGCCATCGTGCAATTATATGCACAGTACCATCACCACATATATATGTACCAAACATCATTGCCACCTCACTAACACCACCATGAAAATTTGTGTACACACGTAAATTTTTGAAATTGGTATTTAAGGTTTTAGAGTAATTTGCTCAATATTAATATACTTTGATCAAGTTGGGTTTTATGACGTGGAAATTACATTGCAGCCAGTTTTTAAAGATTAGAATTCTAAAATCAGATTTAAGGTCTAATTATTTATTAATCAGGCAATAATTTAATTATTAATAATAATTTAAACTTAAGTTAATCCCATACCCACCCACTTCCCAATCAACTCTTATGGTGCGTTTGATTACCAATATTTTTTCATGGAAAATGTGTTTTTTTTAAACTCAAATTTTTACTTCTGTGTTGTTTGATTGTCATTTCTTTCATGAAAAATATTTTTTCACTTTTAGTCACGTGATCATATTTTTCTTAAAATCAAGAAAAATATTTTCTTTAGGAGGAGTATGATTTCATTTTTCAGGTAACTCTCTCTCTCTCTCCATCCTCTCTCATCTATCAATCAATAAAAAATGAATAAATATAATATTTTCTAGGTTGAACGTTAAAATAATCAAATAAATTTAATTGACAATTTTTATACAAATAAATTTTAAACAATTAAATTATTTAAAATTTATTTTCTTTCCATACAAATTTCATGTTTGCAATCGAATGCACCCTAAGCATTATTTCATCCCCAAACCTATCTTGTTCCTCTTTTCTCTCTATCTACCCACTCAACTCTCCATAGCGCGAAGCAAATGCCTTAAAATTGGAAAGTATGCAACATCGACGCTTCAACTCTTCCCTCTCTACATGAAGCTCAATTCGTCGTTGCATGCGACGTGAAGAACACCACTTGGTGGGACTGTGGGAGAGATAACTGTTGCCAGCTTGCCTTCGACCCAGTAGGAAGGACTAGGTTATTTAGAGAAGGTATAATTACTATAGATTTAGAAACTGATGGTACTCACATTGGGTATTTGATTCTTCATTCTGTGACATTTTTGTTGCATCGATTGTGTATAAGAGTTGAAGATATTCCGGGTGAGATTTATCTACTTTTTTGGTGTTATGATAATTTTTCTTTTTTGATACTTCCTTTTTCCTTGTGAATGGGGTTTCAGTTCACATATTTGAAGCTTTCTGATATTTGTTTCTTTTTATTTATTCGTTTATTTCCATCTCTACGATGAATATTTGAATGTTTGCTTTCTGCTGTTAAACGGTTCTTACCCACTTATATTTCTCTTTAGATCCTATTATTATTTTATCAATAATAATGCAGAAAATTGTAAAATATGGAACTAACGTGACAAATTGTGAAAAGCTTTGTAATTTGGGAACGACAACGTAAATTTTTACAATTTAAGTTTCACCCTCGAGAAGAAGCAATTTGTGTCTTTGAAGCTATTCAACATAAACCCTGAATCCAACTGCATCTATTTGATTTCTAATCCTTCTATTTCAGATTGAGTTAATTATCTTGTACGTTGGTCAAATGCAAAGATCAAGGTAGTTTTTTTAATCCAGAATCTCGAATTGGCAGTTGTCTTGGTTTTGTTACTTTTGATTGATACATATTATTTGGAAACAGGGGAGTAGAAATGCCTCAAAAGCAATCTACCCGAGGTCCACCTCATCCGAGGACTTTGAGCTCGAATTCTGACACATTATACAATCGATCAAGAGCTGACCGGAGCCGAAAGCTAGCAGATGGTCAGTCCCCGCGAGGGACTCTGTCTGATCCTGCAAATCGAAAGAAACTAAGAACATGTATTGCTGATTTAGAATGTTACCTTGGCCAAGCGCATGAGGAGTTCAAAACTCTCAAGGACCAATTATCTTTAAAAGGGGCTTCTAAGAAAGTGGAGAAGAGATCAAAGAAACAACAAATGGTTCTTGAGTCGTTGGAAACTCGAGAAAACGACTCTATTTCAGTTCAAACTGAAGAATCCAATGACAAGTACAATACCAGTGCTTGTGAAACATCTGATGAAAACCAACAGGGAACTGATGTTTTTGAAGTTCCAGCCGAGAAAGTAACTATGAAATCGACAAGTAAATCGTGCCCCTAGATGATCGAGATGAAATTGAACCAAAATTTGTTGTTTTATCAACTGAATCACCAAACATGTCGGAGCCAGAAGAGTCATCATTACATGAGTTGACTCTGAAGGATGATGAAGTGAATTTGCTAAAGGCGAAGTTGGAGGACAAAGAAAATGACCTGGAAGTATTTCGCTTAGAAAATGTGGGCTTAAAGAATCAGCTAAATGAAAAGTTGTAGGAGTTATCATCAGTTGGATCCAATAGAGATGAAGTAACTTCAAGTTTGAATCAAGTTGAACAAGAACTGGAAAGGAGCAAAAGCAGTCTGTCCAGTTAAATGAGAAATTAGAAGTTGCTGAAAATGCAAAGGAGGAATTAGAAACTGAAATGCAGAAGCTTCAGGTAATAACAGAGCAATGGCGAAAGGCAGCTGATACTGCAGCATCGGTTCTAGCTGGTGATGTGGGGATGAATGGCAGAAGAATTTCTAAGCGGTGTGGATCCATGGATACACACACTGGCATTGTCTCCAAACCGGTAGATTTGGATTCACAAGTATTAATTGATGATCCAGACGATGTTATTGGTGGTGGAAAGGGGAAAGGTTCTGGGTTGAGAATTGGGGACCTGTGGAAAAAGAAGGGCCAGAAGTAGAATTTGTATTTGTCACTGCAATCTTGAAATTAAGGGCTCAAAACATTCATAATTGTTATGCTTTCTTATGTAATTTGCAGTCTTTATACTTGCACGAGGTGTGGACTTTGATCATGTGGTTATTAATATGTTCAAAGTGTTACTTCCACATTCAGTTAAAAGTTATAAAAGTAGTTCCAAAGATGAAACCATCTATTAGTTAAAAACAAGAGAAATAGCCAACACAATTCATTCTTCAAGCATCCAATTGTAGAAGGATAGATTAACAACCTTCATCATCTTCTTGAAATTACATGCATAATTATTCACAAATTGGCAAGGTAATAAATCTACGTGATCTGCTGCCAAAATGGGGCTTGGTCAAATAGGATTCTGTTGCAGTGACGTTTAATAGAGAGAAATTCCAGGCAGTTCATCAGGTTTAATTGCAAAATCTGTGTAGTTTGCAAGTCTTTGACACAGAGCTAGAGGAAAAGCTTTACGCAAGCCTTCATCAAACCATTTCTGAACATAGAATAAGTTCTCTAGGTTCAGAATAGCCACTTCCGATTGAGCAAATGCATCTTGGTCAACACTACCAACATTTTTTTTCTGGAGTGGAAACATCTATCGAAATAAACAACAAAACATTGGTCAGCTTCTAGAAAAAAGTGAAGCCGCTGCTTAGTCCAGGAAACATCAAAAGAAGACTGATATCAACTTGTGATTCTTCTGCTATCAATCATCTTCATCACTTCCATATTGTTGGCATAATGATTGCAATCCACTGCTTGCAACAGCGGTGGGTCTTGCCTCTTGATTCTTTGGCTTCTCCTTTGCTGGCTTGGAACTATTGGAATCAGGATGTGGTTTCTTAAGAATAGAAACAGTGACCGTTGAAGCTCTTGAAAATGAACTTACCACTATCAGAAGCCCCACAACTTTGTGTATTACCTGCAATAACCACAATGGTTATTTGTTCAGTATTTTAGAAAACACAACATTATTTAATATTATCTAGCCATCTCAAAGAGGGCAATCTTTGCAAGTACCAAAGAGAAAAATTAGTGATAAGTGACATGGCAAAACGAGTAACCAGGCATATTACATCAATCCAATCCAATCCAATCCAACTTTCAACAATCAATAGTTGCTAAAGAGAGAGGTGTGCTTTGTGAAAGAGAGTAAATTCACACAATTTATGCATCATTTATGATATGGGAAACAAATTGCCAGATGCATCCAGCATTCAATGAACTAGCAATGCAACCCTTGTTTGGATCATTAAAATGTAATTCTGGAAAAATGTATTTTGGAATAGAGATTTTTTTTAGAATGTGGTTAAAAAATAAGGAAAAATTTCGATTTACGTGTAATGCTATTTTATGGGAGAATGTGTGGTTGTAAATAAATTTTGGAAAAAAATGAGTTTGTGAGAAAATGGGGACCAAACATAGGCATGTTATATACAAATGCCAGGATATTCAAGTCTTTATCAAAACTGGAAACCTTGAATTCGGAAGAAATTTGTTAACAGTAATACTTCCAGGGAAAGTGGTACATTTGTTTTTATCGTTTTTAAATAGATAGAGAAGTGGCCAGGTGATTAAGAGTACAACATGGAAAAGAGGAGATCAACAAAAAATTATATCTTAAAATGGAACTTGAGGTCAAGTTACTAACCTTTACTGTCAGAGCTGTCAAGAATAGTACCATTCGTCAAAGAATCTGTTAGATTACAAGGTTCTTCGAATACCTTTCTCCTCTGCATAAAAAGTAAATGCCTTGAGTATTCAAACTAAATATACTAGCAGGCTTACATAAATGCATCTCAGAGAATGCCAACAAATCTAGCAAATTTATAAAGTGATAAAAAGAATTGGCATAACTAGTAGATTCCGGATCTAATGATCATGCTTCAGAAATCCAATTCTTCAAGGACTCATCCTAACTAAATCAGAGGGTATAAAATTAGTTAATTTTTTTATTTTACTAATTGTAAAATTAAATTGTGTGTGGCATGCAAACCCCATGCCTCGTAAAGAGAATCAGATCAATGAAATGGTTCTCAACCCCTATAGCTATACAATAACCATCAGCACCCTTATCTCCTTTAAAAAATGAAATGGACTTAACTTCAAGTATTCTTTACCCTAACTTATCTTCCATCACACCTTCGTCAATCAAAAAGATAGAACAAATGAATAGGGGTACATCAAGTGAATGAAACTGGCTATTGCAAGTGATAAATTTTTAGATCTTTAGTATCAGTATCTTTTTACTAGAAAACTTGTACATTCAGAAGTTTTTGGAACACTTCCTGGAAGCAATCACTGAGTGTAGGTACTTGTTACCCTTTCTAGTCAACAAGAAAATTGGATACACAGGTTTGATCCACTGATAATATTCAATAAAGTTGTTTTGTTGAGAAAAAATAGATAAAACAGCATCTACATAAAAAGTGTATAGGATAAACAGGTTCGCCGCAATGGCCAATGTTATGTACTTGATGGAAATAGATAAAAAGTTGCGACGGAAAATTTATATATCATTACTCCTTTCTGCTAGATGTTCAAACAAAAAATTACAACCAACATTGATCTTTTGAAATAGAAAAAAAAAAGAAGAAGATATTTACACATTTAGAGTCCATTTTGTTTCACAACACCGTGAAGGAAATAAATAAGTTGAGGGCATGGAAAACCAGAAAACAAAGGTTAGTTGCAACTTGTCATTATACTTATTCCTCCCTCCGAAAGTTTAGAATAAGCGGGTGACCTAGGAATGTGTTTTCCTCAGCATTTTTTACTGAAAAATACTTATAATACCTCAATTTTTATAATTAGATTTTCCTCCACCCACTTTAATTTGAATGAAAAGAGAGAGAATTTAAATAGGGCGAAACTCAACGAGGTGGCAAAGAAAAGAACTCGACCTTTGAATGATCAGCAGACGTTCCTTCTTTGTCAAATGGAAACATGGGAAAATCTTCATCATCATCGATATCCTCATCATCAATCCTTCTAATAACAGCAGGCTCTCGTGGTCCCTTAGTAAATAATTAAACCAAGCAATGCCCAATGTGAACAAATACACAAAGAAACAAGGTAATAACAATAAATATAAACCATAATGATAAGAATTTGACAACAGATGTTCACCTTGAACACAGCCTTCATAAGAGCTTCATCCTCTTCTTCCAACTTCCTTTTCTATCAAAATAAAAGTCCAAATTATACTAAGATTCAAGGTAGGAAGTAGTTTGAACAAGCATGCAGAAAGATTGAAAGTAAAACTTATTAATCCAGGATAAATTGATAAATAAGACTACTACTAACATTGTTACGGACCAACTCCTGCATAATTTTGAAATTTTGATTAAAAAATAAAATAAAATTGTTTCAAAAATTAGGATTATCAACTTCCCTTTTCTCTGTTATGATCCGAATAGTGGTTACTTTGTTATTGTTGTTAGATCCTAACAAGTATTAAGAAAAAGCTCCAAAATCACTTTATTATTGCTAGCTTTACATAGTTAACTGACTAAATGTTACTATAAATTAAGGAATCAGCATTCAAAAAGAAGTCTTATGAACAGACCAGCCAATTTTTGTATTTTTTACTATTTCTTTGAGTGCAGCCATATAACCACCACACTACTAGCATCCATCAATGCAATATAGTTAGAAAATTAGAATTATGACATAAACATTCAAAAATCATACTTCAGACAACTGATAAGTGATTATGAAGCATCTCCCGGCTCACAAAAACACAAAGCTTGTGTGTGTGTGTGTGTGAGATAGAGAGAGAGAGAGAGAGAGAGAGAGAGAGAGAGAGCACATCTTCTATGCTAAACTAGCATCAGCATCTCACCTTTGTCTCATTTGAGTGTTGCATCTACAATCACAATTGCATGTCTTGACTGAAAAAAGAAAGGAAAATAACATGAGCCATATCAAGCATTAAAAAGACCCCAAAAATAATATCAAGAAGTGATTAGAAAACAATCATACAGCACATCACTTGATCAAATGATCACCTTCATAGACTTCATTTCATCCAAAGCAGCTAGGATATCCATTTCTCTCTTGGAGTCCAAAGTTCTATTCTCTAATGATTTCATGGCATCTCCCATCTCTTCAGAATTCCTTTTCTTTTTCTCTTCATCTATTACCTATCAAGAATGAAATAACAGTTAGTGAAACCTCAAACAAAAATGTGCAAAAATAAAAAAAAAGGCTTTACATAAATATGAAGGGTACTCAGATAACAAGTAAAATAATTACTAACCTCATCCTCTGCACGCCAAGGTTCGAAATTCTAGTTGCACCGGACTCAATGGTATAATCAAAATTCTGTAGATCTGTCTTGACTGTTATTTCAGCCGAGCATTTAGTACATTTGAAATAGAACCTGAAAATTTGGATTGCGAGATAGGTTTGCAAATAAATGTAACATGCACAATTTAGTTAAATAATGAAACCATGAGCAGAAATCAATAAAAATTATACTTATTGAAAGAGAGATCCAAGAATTAACATAACCAAGTACTTGTTCGTGTTTCACTATAAATTGTTGAAATTATGAGTCCTAAGAATGTTTATTTAAAAGTAAAGTTCGAATTTGACCTTTAAATTATAAGAAGTTTATAATGAAAGGCAAAAAAGCGCCAAAACTAACTTAATTTGTAGCCATAGTACGGTGATTATTGTTGACCATCATAAAGATTCCAATCTTCTTCAACTGTTTTACAATTTATCTAAACAAAATGAGACTCGCTAGCTTTAACCAATATTAAAAGAAAACCAATCCAGTTCAGTAGGAAAATATCTATTAAATAAAACCCAAACTTCCAGAATCCTTAGGGACTTCAAAATACAAAGACCAAATTTTAAAACCATAAAATTGGAAGATTGCAGACACCCTAGACGAATACTGAGCAATACCCATAACTAAAAATAAAATCAAAGAACATCTTATTAGTCAAAACATTCAATTAAAACAACATAGAAATAGTATATGTATTGTTGCATGTACTTCTCTGATGACATCTTCCTTGCGGGAATTAAATTTGTACCCTTATAAATATAATTCCCACAAGTGCCACAGCGGATGCTCATGGGAAGCATCATGCGAACCTTGATCTGTTGGTTCTTCTGTTGCCGCCGACATGGAATCTTAGCCGGATCGAAGTCCAGCGGGTAGTATTTGTCCAAT